TATATAGGGATGGCCGGTTGGCTCACTGGCTGAGCGTGGTGTTGACAACACCAAGCCAAGGGTTGAGATCCCCTTACTGGTCATTTTAAAAGAATACAAATCTTTAAACTACAAAAGTGGATACAAAGCCTTGGATAGGAACCATGAAGCTTAAGTTTCATTAATTTCACAGTAAATCCACCTCTGTTTAGGGAGCTTGTTAAAAACCTTAAAAATAAGATTCCTGGGGTTGGCCGGTTAGCTCCCTCAGTTAGAGTGTGGTGCTTACAACACCAAGGTCAAGGGTCTGGAACCCTGTACTGGCTAGCTGCCAAAAAAAAAAGATTCCTGGCCCCACTCTAGGCATTCTGATTCAGTATATTAGGGGCCCAGAGATATGTATTTTCAATAAGCACCTTATTGTGTTGTGGATGGGCTGATGTGAGGAAAACAGTAGTTTTCATACCTATTTCCTGACACATAAAAGAATTACCTACGTTTGCTTCATAACAGAGGAAGCTCCCTGTCTCTCAGCACTTTTATGTTAACCCCATTTTCTCTAAGCAAAGAACATAAACCATACAAAGAACACTTTCCTTCTCATGCTGAGAGTCGGGCTGGGATTCAGCTGTCCCAGGTTGCTGGTCTCCTTTCCTCTGCCTTCTCCACAGCCGCTGGCATTGGCACAGCTCTCTGGTTCCTGGGCATCGACACTGAAGGGAGAAAATGATTGGTATTAACTTCAGGTGGCTGGTAAGCATTTGGTTATCTTTCAAAACTCATGTCAGGCCATTTAAAGGAAATCATCTCTTCTAAAGAAAATATTTGGTCCTATTGGTTCTATCCTTCCTAGAGAATGTTCAAGTATAGTAGAAGAAGAGAATTTGCATTTAGTGAGCACCTCCTATGTGCCAGGGGCCTTTCACAGAGGATCTCAATTAACTTTTACAAAAAACACAAGAGGTAAATATCATGAGTCTCATTTTACAGATGAGGCATCTGAGGTTGGAGAAGTCAAACAACTTTCCCCAAACCACTAAACTAGTGAGTGAGTAGCAGATCTATCCAAACTCAAAAGTCTGTGCTTTTCTCATTATGCCAAGCTGCATCTGGAACAGAAGGAAGTCTTTATAGATCAAGGACAAGGACCCAATATATTAGCAAACTTACAGGGCATGGGACTTCAAAAATTATGAAAACTGTAATGGCAACTCCACTGAACAATAGGGTGACAGCAATCAGAAATTTGACCACAATACTCCATTTCCTCCTCTTCTCTAGGTCCTCATCTGTGTCTAAAAGGAGAGAGAGGAGGGGAAGAGGGAGAAAAGAATATTTGAGAGAAGGAAGAGATTGACCCTTTGACTTGATGTTTTCCTAGTTCACAGGACTAATAGGGGCCAGCCTGACCCAGAAGCAGAGGCTGAATTTCCAGTTCAGACTCAAAGTCAGGAGTGGTTTGGGCATCATGGGCTCTGCTCTAATCTCTTTTGCAGCCTCTTCCCAGTGAGTCACCTTCCCTAGGATTTTGGATTTTCCATTCTTACTCCTGAAGAGCCAATTCTTGCACTGCTCTCAGGGGAAGAGAGGGCTTGGGTACACAAGGAGTTCTTTTGTTTTGTTCTTTTTGGTTATTGTTTGTTTTTTTGGCTGGCTGGTACAGGGATTGAACCCAGGACTTTGGTGGTACCGGCACCATACTAACCAATTGAGCTAACCAGCCAGTCCTTGGATACACAAAGAGTACTAAACTTATCTTTCACTATCAGCCCTCTCAGGATCCCTACCCTTCTACTCCAACACATTGCATGGGATTAGAAAATCACTTTTCCTGTGCTCCTCTTGACTTTAGTGGGGTATAGGAAAAATAAACGTGAATTGGCATTGCTTAAGGGTCATAAGCCAAATCTGGGGGCAAATGTTGTTACTAATTTCATATTCACTTTTCCCGTGGTGTAAACTAGGATGTAACCCGAACTGGAATTTTACAGAATTTGAGTCCTGGCCAATTTAGGGAGGACTGTTTTTAAAAACACTGAATATGAAAACATGTACTTGGTGTCATAACTGTAATAACTGCTTAGTATTTAAATACTGTCCATCTATACATGCAATGGTGGAAATTATCTATCACATGAATACGATTTATTCTGTCTCCACATTTGGCTACAGTGAGCTCACTTGTGTGGAGGTAAAGGATCATTGATGGTGTCAGACTACAAACATTTCTGGTACTTACTTTACAGAAAAGCTGATTTTTTCTCTAAGAAA